TATCATGACCCCAATTCTACAAATCATGCTAGACAAGAACATATACATGCGTACAGATAAGAGCTGGACACACAGGGAATTCACGACAGATTAAACCCCTCAGGATCAATATTGAGAGTAGCCCTACCAGGAAGGTAAGGGGAAGGTGGGGGAAGACTGGGGGAATAGATAACAATTATCTACCTATAACCCTTTCCAGGGGGATAGACAACAGAAAAGTGGGTGAAGGGAGATATCGGTCAGTGTAAGACATGAAAAAAACAGTAATAATTTATAAATTATCAAGGGTTCATGAGGGAGCAAGGGTGGGGAGGGAAGGGCAAAATGAGAAGTTGATACCAAGGGCTCAAGTAGAAAGAAAATGTTTTGGAAATGATGCTGGCAACATCCGTGCCAATGTGCTTGGCGCAATGGGTGGATGCATGGATTGTGTTAAGAGCTGTATGAGCCCCCAATAAAATTATTTTTAAAAACAAGAAAAAGAAAATGGCATCTCGAAAAGAAAGGTATAGCAATCTACCTCAAAAAAAAAAAAAATTCATCACTGAAAACCCCATGGAACAGTGCTACTAAGGCACACAGGAGGCCGGGTCAGAATCCACTCGACAGCAGAGGTGCTCCCTGCGATACATCGCGTTCATTTCTAATCAGTGGGCAAAGACTTGTTAAGGTTTTTAGTGGAAGAAAGCACCGATCTTCACGAGTGCACAAGTTAACATATCATATTAACATGATTATAATTAGGCTTATCTAGTAATATTCTTTATTTTATTTTGAACTATTAATATTCTTAATCAGCCTCATCTGCATTCAGGAACATATACCTGCATATGCTGAAACAATTCAGTAACATCTTTTCCTGGCACGTCTGTCTCAGTAAGAGCCAGAGATTTCATTTCTAAAAACGCTTGGAGCTTTTCTGAGAGGTTCTCAAACAGTTCAACCTTGGCTTTTAGCTCTTCCATTGTGGCAAGTTTTTCTTTGTGTTTCTGACTCGCTTCTGAAAACCTAGCGGACAAGTCCTTCATTTTGGCCTGTAGTGAGGATGCAGTGGATGGGTCTGTCGTTTCCATGAATTTCTTCACTTTTTCATTCATAGCATTTACACTGCTCTGGCGGCCAGCAATATCCTGTTCCAACATCTGAAATGAATCAAAGAGTACGTGCATGTTCATAATGAGGCTTACAAGTAATATCAGAGAGCTTTGTTTTGTTTCTCCTTGTACTATTCATGACAACAACAACCTGAGCAACCTGTGACTGACAACTGGACTGAATGACAAGAACGCTAAGTTGGATCTATCCTGGGAGGAATCTCAGCCCAAATCTCTTCAAGGGAAAGTGAAGAACAGCTGGCTAGTGGCTTGAAAGAGGCAGGAGGCGGCTGCTACTCAATGGCGTGTTTGGATTATCCATGGGATCCAATGGCGTGCTTGGATTATCCATGGTCCTGATTCTTAAAAGGCCAGACAACAAGAGGGAGCAGATTAATCTCATGCGCAGCTGGCTGAAGCATCGGTAGACGAGATAGGATTTGATGCACGGATAGGCCTCTTTAACACGAATGACAGTATCATGAGGACTACAAGGCTGTTTCTAGATACTTCACAGACCAGTCAGTCTGCAGAGTTGTCTTTGTGCAAGCACCGTGTTCCACACTGCTACACTCAGGACACATATCATTTCTTCTGGATCTTTAAATTGATCAGCAGTCCACCCCACTCCTCCCACCCCCACCCAGAGCTTACTGAACTATGCCTTTCATCTATTAGTGGGAATTTTTTTTCTCTTTAAAAACTGTCACTTACAATACTCTTACTGATGAGATCCTGAAGAGCAGCAGAGTTTAAGGGCACTTGACCTTGTTCTTTCAGAGAACTCTCCACGGCTGCCATCCAGTCGAACATTTCATCCAAGCCGTCCTGCACGCTCAGCGAGCGGGTCAGGGTTATCTGCAGTTTTTCATTCCGCTCAGTAATAGACTTGGAGAGATCGTCGTATCTCCCAACAATGTCATCTAGTCCAAACAGATCAGGAAATGTTAACCACAGAGTCCTCTCTGCCCTGATCAAGCTCAAAATGATGGAATCGCAATGGAGCTCCCACACTACCATTGAAAAAAGAAAATAAACTGTAACAATACACTTCTAATGCCAATCAGGGCACCACCTTATACCATCTGAACAAAGAAGAAAAATATCCCAGTGAGAGGGAAAATCAACTACTAAAATCTTTTTTTTAAGCAGTTAATACATATATCTGTACTTTAAAGATATTTTGGATGTATAAACACAGGGACATACTTTTGGAATAAAAATTGGTTTATTGGGTCTCATTTCAAACCTGTCATTTCCATTTGGCCATGCTTGTTGGCAACTATATACATTTAGACAACAGTCAGGACATGTCAATTGCCTCTTCATACATTAAAGATAGTTTTTCTTGCTTTTGTAACTCTCTATGTCCAGAATTTGAAAGCAATAGTCTTCAAGGTGGGATGTACAAGGTTTGTTGGGATAAAAGAACAAAATGTTGACACCTCTATTCAAATTTTTCTCATCAAGGTTAAGAATTGTTATGTTCCTAATTTATTATTGTAATATGGTAATAGAATAATAAACCACAAACTTAGTGCTTGCAGGTCAACCCTGACTCATTGCTCCAGAAGGTTCCCAAAGCTGTAAGTCAGTACAGAAACAGGCTGCTACAGCTCTGGCTGCACGGGTGGGAGAGTTCAAACTGCTGACTTTTGAGTGCTTTAAGCACTGCAACACCAGGGCTCCCATATCAGACTGCATATACATGATTTATAACTACAGGTGCTTACATGGAGGTGCATGCTAAAGCAGCATTTACTGTTCAGGTTGCATGATTTGAAAAGTTCAAATGTCTCTTAAGTATAATCAAGGGTTTTCCTTCACATAGTAGTTTTAAAAGAGCAAAGATTTATCCTCTTCATCTAAAATTTCTACTCAGAGTTTAATCAATGCTCTAAAGTTTATCATTTCATGCACAGAAATATAAAGTAACTCAAACCATATAAAGAATACATATAAGACAGTAAATGACATGTATTGATAACCTACTATATATTCAGTATAATTAAACACTATGGGAAGATACAGGGACTAAGATAAACTCTCGCAAAACCACTCACTGCATTGAGTCAACCCAATAGGCCAGAGTAGAACTGCCCCTGTGAATTTATGGGAGTAGAAGCCCCATCTTTCTCCCTGGGTGTAAGACGGTGGTTTCGATCTAAGAATCTCTTGGTAAAGGGTCCAACTCATAACCACTATGCCACCAGGGCTCCTTACTTCTCTGAAAAACCCTTCAAAATTCGAGAGGACACAAGAGTAGCATTATAATTGTATGTCAGTTTCTAGTATACGACTGAAAGATTGGGGTCACAGAAGCTTCAAGAGAATGAAGAAGTGAGGATGTTGTCTTAAAACAGGGCTTCCCAATCTCTCCCATAAGTCAGGAGAATCCTGGAACGTTCTACTTCTGTGCTACACAAATAATGGTACATTTTCTGAATATGAAATTACAATGTGAATGTGCTTCTTTCAAGCTGCACAGCTCCCAGACCCAGGATTCTAACATACCTAGCAAAGAAAGCATACCTTTTCCCAGAATGAGAATCATCAGTTCACAGTGAAAGAATAAATCACACAAATACATATACACTAGTACATATTTCCCCTTGTGTATTAGAATACTTTCGCTTAGAATTCCTCTGTGAGGCAGCAAACAAGAAAATGCGCATCTTACCCAGGGTCTTCTGGGTGTCACTCTGAGCAGGCAGTAACGATCCTCTGGCATCTAAAAGCACTTCAGCAGTTTTTTTCAATTTCTCAACAGTAACTTGCTGACTTGATATCTGACCTTGCAGAGCCTGTAGGATTAATGCTTTTCAGTTATGTTCATAGAGCTAAAAGGTAGATTCCCATAGGGGGGAAAAATCACCTTAAGATAAATTAAAACGGAGTAAACCTTTCATTTTTATAAAGTGACTCTAGAATTCTCACAATAAGAAGCATTATATGTAAAAAAAAAATCATTAGCAAAAGCATCAGACAGGATAGCACAAATGTGGTCTTGAAGTAAACCTTCAAGCAGACGTTCCTAGCAATTGGCCTAGTTCCTGACCCTGTACGCCTCTCACCTCAGTGTGTGTTCCCCATTTAACCCTTTGAACAAAGCCACCACCACTGCCATCGAGCATCAACAACACCAGGCAAACGTCAGCACAAGCCATCGTCTTTGGGACCAATTCCCATTTCAGGTCAGGAGAAAATTAGGGACTTCCACTTCATTACACCCTGACTTAAAACTGAGCCATATGCTTGAAAAACTAACCAGAATTACCGACCATCTTATACATTTAAAACAAAAGCCTTGCTACATATTGTGAAAACACACAAACACACACAAGGACCACCTAGTGTAAGACAGGACATGATAAAAGTGGGAAGTGCCCAAGATGAGGGAGGAAAGGAGTGAGTGGGGCGAGCAATGGGAGCCCCCGATGAGGGTGGCTTTGAGGTGCGTCCTGGAGAAAGGCCGTTTGGGGAGGTGTACATGACGAGAGGCATGCCCGCAGGAATGAATGAAAAAGGGTGCAGTTCTATCCAGCTGGGGGATATGTGGTGGATAAACAGAGATTCGTCTGGGAAGGTAGGTAAAAAACACTTCAGAAAGTCAGGCTGAAGAGCTTGCACATTTGCCTGTAGCAGTGAGGAGTTATTCGAGTCTTCTGAGGAGAGGATGAGCTGATTATTAAATGAAGGTTAATAGGTGGTACTGTGTGGGGTGAATTAATGGGGAAGAAACGAAGCGGTGATGGCGATTAAGGGATAACTTGAACAGTAACAAGTCTGCACAGGGGCCTCTGCAGGAAACAGGTTATATAACCAAACCAAGCTCACTGCCATCAAGCTGATTCCGAGCTATAGCAACTCCATAGGACGGAGAAGATCTTTATGGGATCTGCAAACATTTATGGGAGAAGAAAGCCTCATGTTTCTCTCACAGAGTCAGTGGTGGTTTCAAAGTGCGGCCTTTGTGAGTAGCAGACCAACTCATGACCCACTATGCGACCAGGGGGCTCGGAACAGGCGATCTCTGAGGGAAGAATTCCGGCGCTGCAACAGAGCTTGCTAACTGTCTCAAGCTCTGCTGCCCAATACAGTAACCACTAGCCAAAGGCAGCTTTTGAAAATATAAATAAATTTGTCCAACACTCAGTTCCTCATTTGCCCTAGCCGCATTTCAAGTTCTCAATAGCTATATGTAGTTTAGTGGCTAGCATATTGACGAGGAAGATCAGAGGACATTTTCATTGTCACAGAACGTTCTATTGGACAGTGCTGCTCACGAGAGCAGCAAGAGAGGGTGTGAGGAGATGAGCAAAGTCTCCACGATGCTCGAGGCTAGGCCAACATCAGATGCACCAGTAAACCATGGGGCGAGATTAGGAGTACGTGGAACTGACAACTTCAAAGTGCTCTTAGATCCTTCCGATAGCGGGAAGCAACAAAGCTCCAAAGAGGAGCTTCTTCGTGGTTCACCAGTTGGAGCTAAATACCAGGAATTGGAAGCCAACACACATAGGAGACTGCTGAAATCGACAGGACAGAAGGACCCGAGAAGGAACCAATGTCTTCACTCACTTCTAAATATCAACATTCTCAGACAACTCTACGCCACCAACCTTCCCCCACCGTCCTGAACCTGCCTCGCTTCACCCTTGGAGATCCATCTCACTCTGCTAAGGGCTCCCCAGGAAGAGTATTGCCTATCTGCCTGGCACACAGACGGTCCAATAACAGTTCCTGAAATAAATCCGTGGATGGCTAAGTAAATCACTGAAGGCATAAAATGTAAAGATCCTCTGCTAGTTTGGACTTCATTTTCAATAAAAATATCTAAAGCTAATGGCAACAATCAGCCCATCCTACTTTCATAATTTGATAAGTTGTGATGACACACATGCAGCCCACGGATATATCAAAAGGTCCACCAAACTACAAGTAGGGGTGTGTGACCCCAGTACCCGGTCCCGCACTTGTTGTAAGAGGCCAAAACATTCACATCAGAGTGGCTCTCTGTGGGGAAGTTTCCAGGAAATGCAGCTTCAGAAAGTCTAGGAAATTTCACAGGGGCAGAATTTCACCTAAAATCAGACAGAAAGCGAGGTCACAGGAATGGCTTATGGACCTCACAAGATTAATAGAAGGTGCAGTTTTTGTTGTAAGAGCTCCTCAAAGGAGGCCGGCTGGTGCAGTGAGTTAAGCAATAGACTGCTAACCACAAAGTCTGCAGTTCAAACCCACCAGCTGCTCTTTGGAGAAAGATGAAACTGTCTGTTCTGTAAAGGTTTACAGCCTCACAGGCCCTATACCAGGGCTGGCAAACTGCGGCTCGAGAGCCATATGAGGGTTTTCCACAATGAAAACGAAAAATGTTAAAGGATATTATTCAGATACTGATAATTTCACTGGTTTGTAAAAATGTGTTTATGGTTCTTGAATAATTTTTAAATTGGTGTGGGGGACAGGATCAGCTATTCCGTCTCAAGCTTGCCAACCCCTGACCTACACTTAATCGCTGAGTCGAGATCAACTCAGAGGCCTAAATTGGGTTGGTGAGTTCACCAAGGGGGAAGAAAGAGGAGGCAGCATGTTTGGATCTTTAGCATACTGAATAATGGCCCAACACATCAGTGTTGCCTGCCTGAATTAATGTGTGTATGTGATCATGGTTCCAGCAAAACCCTCCATGCTTGAGAAAGTGCCCTCTATCATCTTAAAACTGGAAAATAATGAATCTTCTCTTTTTTATCTCTTCAAAATACTCCAAACACGGCTCTCCATAACTAGGGTCAAGAGTCGATAGCTTTAGTTTCTAGCATGTATATGATTAAGGATTAATTATGGTAGGGTAGAGTCCTACTTTGGAGCAAAATGCAAATTCAAATACTCACATGTTTTATCCATATTGCTCTGAATGCTTTCAATGAAATTAAAGCATGACAAAGGATCTGTGACAGGGAATCCTGCAAGATTCTGACCTTTGGGGACCTTTGAGGACCCCCAATTTTCCTAGCTGTAGACTTCCATACTTTGCACGTTCCAAGTTCTGATCTTGATCAGTTTTGCAGCTGTTCTCCTTACCTTGAGTAGTGCCCATCAGCCAGTGCAGATCCCTTCCTGGCATGTTATCTCTTCTATCCGCATATACTCAGGACCAGAAATGCACATCAGCAAGGAGGTGTAACTAGCTGAGGATGCTGACTTGCCCAGGACATCTCCCAAGAGCCCCCTGCAGGGCTGCGTGCACCCTCCTGCTCAGCAAAGCAGCAGTACTTCCCACCCTCTCTACCTCCGGGCTTCCTGCTCACTCCCCTCGACTGATGCTTCCATCCCATTTCAAGGCCTTCTCTCTGTCTTGACCGTCCCACCGCCTGCCATGTTTTCTTACAGCCCATGACTTGGTTTCCTTCCACCTGAAAGTTTAAACTCACCAGTAAGATACCCGTTTTCCCATTCACCTCGCAAAACTGATTTACTACAATTCCCAACAGGAGCCCTGGCGGCTCAGTGGTTCCATGATGGGCTGCTAACTGCAAGGTAAGCTGTTTGAAACCACAAGCATCTCAGTGGCACAAGATGTGGCTTTCCAGTCCCGTAAAGATTTACACTCTCAGAAGCGGCGGCTCCTTGCTGCTGCTATGAGTCAGAATTGGTTTGACGGCAGGGAGTCTGGTATTTTTAACTAAGAGATGCAACGAAATCCTACCAGGAGCTGCTTACCTAGCAAGACCGGGCTGGCTTGCTAGCTATGGCAGTAATAAGTCATTATGCACCAAACCAAACTAAACACATTGCTGGTGAGCTGGTTCCCACCCATAGCAACCTTATAGGACAGAGGAGGGTGGCACCACAGTGGTTTCAAAGATGTAAGTCCTTACAGAATCAAACTATCACATTTATCTCCTGTGTAGCAGCTGGTAGGTTCGAACCACCAACCTTTCAGTTAGCAGCCAAGTACTTCTCCACTGATTCACCAGAGCTCCTCAAGCTACTGGTACCCATCTGCTAACAAGAAGAGAATTATTAAATAACCCTCCCAATGTAAAAAAATTGGTAATATTGAATGATTATGTTAAAAGTTGTAAATAGGATAATCATACTGAAATGGGCTTTAAGTGTCGTTCTTTACATTAGACTTTAAAAATATGCTTTAAATTCAAGAAAACAGAATAGAGACATCCTGTGTCATTGTAATACCAAGAGCCCCACAATTACGCAATTTCTACAGCAAGCCTATTTTTTCAGGCTAGTTCTTGGTAATAGCTGGTGTCTGTATCCTCAGAACTCCCAAGTAAGGCAGTGATATCTCTTCTTGTTTTCACCTGTCTATATTTTTCAGATAGTTCTTACCTATTTGGGGTCAGATACTCTTCTAGGTGCTGGGGACATAAAAGTGACCGAACCAGACAAAGTACCTGTTCTCATGGAGTTCAATTGCAATGGGAGAGAAAGACAATGGGTAAGATGAGGAAGTATAATGTTATATGGCATCAAAAACTGAAAAGAACGGACAGAGCAGAGACAGGGAGGGGAAAGGTCCAGATAAAGGTTAAGCGAGATGATCTATGTGCGCTACACCCCTCCACCTGGAAGCTCAACTTTCAAGAACTTTCCCGTAACACAATGTCATGAAACTCTCTACTGTTCTGATGAGTAAGCAGATTTTTTAAGAATAATAGTCCATCCCAATTACCAAATCCTTTTCAAGAATAGGGCCCAGAGTATGTTATTGGGTTTTCTTTGGACATTGGCAGGTATAGATAAGGAACCGTGGACAGCAAGGTAAATCCAACTCTACACCTGTGTATAAAATCATCTCACTAGAAAGAGAGATGAATGGACTGGGGGAAATAGTCACAACTTGCTCTGGGACGAAACGTGCCTTCCTCATTGACCTCTACCCTAAGTGACACTAATGCAGGGTAGAAGTCCTTTGGCTAGACTCTTGAAGGCTCTATAGACCTCTCCCTTTCTCATTTGTTTACTCACCTTGGTCTCCTCTAATTGCCTTTGGAGATTTTGGGGGTCCACAGCGATGGGTTCAGATAAGTGTTTGCTCGCAGTGGCCTCACAGGCCTGGAGTACAGACAGAAGTCCACAGGACGCATCTTCGTAGTGTTGATATTTATCCACCAGGTCCTTAAGGTTATTCCCCAGTATGTTGCACTAAACAATGCAAAGATCAGCAGGGTGGGGATTACAACTCATTCTTTTCATATCGGTCAACATAATCTTAAGACCTACTAGTTAATATAGCCTGGAAGAGATCAGACTTCAACTACAGTCAGTCGAAACTCTGTAGGAATAAGATTTCCCTCTTTATGTGAACATTTAACCTCTATGACAGCAAAAAGAACGACGAGCTAGTTCTAGATTTATGTCAACTCAAAAGCATACTCACAATGACTGAATCTTAACACAAAAAAGGAGGATTAAGACGGCAAGTGTCAGAGGAGGCAGGTCTGGGTTGTACACACCTTGTGTATTGATAGATAGCAGGGGCTTCAACATGCTCATGGAATAATGAGATTAAAAGATAACAGGACTTCCACAAAGTTTTAAAGCCCTCTAATGTTTAATATGAAAGATTTCAATGTATTTCATAAGTCATGCCTATATATTTCATAGAGTTAAAACAAAAGGACAAATAGTCCAGATTACAGTAAAACCAAGGGCAAGAGCCAATGAGGCGCCTCAACCCTGCTATAAAACTGTTTTTCTCTGATGTTAAAGTCCTCTTTATTTATTTTACTAAGCTATGATTAACATATCATACAATTCAATCGTTCGACCATATCAAGAAGGGCTGTGCATTCATTTCCACAATCCATTTTGAAGCCTTTTCTTCCTTCCTGTGCCCACTGCTGTGGATTCCCCATTTCTCCCACCCTTCCCTCCAAGGCCCCGGGCAACCAGCAGTCCAGTTACTGTCTTCATATCCACGCCTCCTGGTTTTCCTACACAGATACACACACACCAGAAGGCAAACAGTCAAAAAGAACCCTGCAGCGATGACCATAGAAATAGGTAATGACCTTGATACAAGAAAAAGCAGAGAATATTAAACATTTAGAAAGCATGGTGAAGAAATCAGATGGCCCAGGTGTGGGGAACAGAGAACTGGAAGAGAGTATATACAGATGAATCCTTTATTCTCATATATTAAGAAGCCTGGCAGGCTGGGTTTCTAGGGTGGAGGTAGGTCTTCATGCTTGTGAGTTGGAGGTGAGTCTCAATCACATTCTCATACTTAATATTGTTCCCCACTATATCCTCCCATCATAGTGCTACCTTAAAGTTACCTCTTACAAGCACATGACTGATTGCTATATAGCTGATAGCTTAACTATAGGTACAAACATGTGCTACTGCTCTCTAGGCTTTGAAGACAGCCACTCCCCCTACCTGCCCCTGGCACTGGTGTCAGGTTATACTCAGAGACCCTTAGGGTTAGGGTACAGCCCACTTTGCTACATATGTGGTTACCTGTATTGAGGGGACTTGCACGCCCCCCCTCCCCACCCACCAAGTGTGCATGAGCCTTTTTTGGAAATATATTCTCTCTCTCTGTGCGGATCTAGCTCCTGAAGTCATGACAGTACCAGAGGTGAGCACTTGCACGCTTTATCTCATCTGAGGTCTCTTTAATTTTACCCCTCAATTACACAACTGCTCCCTGGACCCATTTGATTGTGAGGGCTGGTACCCCACACCTAGGGCTACCATGAAAAATAACATCTGGAGTCTTAAAGACTTGTCTCAAAACCTGCAGCTATCTAAATGAGGAGTCCGCTAAGTTCACAGGAAGAAAAACCCCAGCCTGAATGATCCAAGGATTGCAAATAATAAGTTCCAAACCTGGAGGAGGAAAAGGGACAAGTGCCTAAATTGTAAACACCTGTTTTTTAGAAAGCTGTTGATGATACTAGTGGGATGCAGAAAGATTTTTCCCCAGGTTGTATCCCCCACATATATGCCAAACCTAAGACACTGCTTTCCTGAAGGAGCGCTCAGAATGAGTCAAGCCAGCTCAAGGAGAACCAAGGTTAGGCTGCCATTTTGAATCTAGGATCCGCCCATCTTGTCACATGTGTACCTAGTCCCTCCCCTTCCTAATGCATGTACACCCCTACATTGTCCCCCTCCCATTGCTTGTATTGTCTATGGTACAACCCCTTTAGGGGGGCTTGCATACCCCTAAGTATATATATAAGCCTTGGTTAGGCATATAGAGGCCCCTCCCCGCGTCTTCCACCTCCACATGGACCACCAAGAGGGGCTGAGGTGAGCATGCGACCATAAAATGTGTCTGACTCCTTTATTTCAACTTCTCTCCAACCTCTCCTATTTTCTATGACTTTACTGTAATCTTTATGTATTATTGCCGTACATTTGCATCTACAAACCCCATGATGTTAGAGGCTGGTTTACTCTAACAATACTATTAGTCCCAAATCTATTCACAGGGTTCCAATGTGGATCGAGTACCTGGTGAACCCCCAGTGCACACAGGGCAGGGACATTCACAGCCCCAATACCAGGCAAAAAGCAGTCTGAAGTGGGTTTTAGCAGTTGTACTGCTGGATTGTAACACCTTGGGATTTGATCTTCCTCAGCAACTAAGGTGAATGTACTCCTACACACCTTTAAAGTCTGCTCTTGTTCTGCTGATACAGTGAATCATGTGAAAGCTGGAGCCTGTGCATGGCAGAAACCCATCAGAGGTGGAAAATTCAAATTTTTACTAAAATGAGCAATAAAAAGTGGTAAGATACACTTGTCAAAGGCAGGACACTTGTAAGAACTAGAAAACCAAGGCAGTCCCCTGTATTCTGGCTCTAATATATTTCGCTGTATAATCACCAACAGGGAATTGTTTTCCTTAGGGTGTGGTTTTGCAAATAAATTAAACTCAGTTAGGTGTCCAGAGGCATAAATTAAGAGGCTGAAACAACTTGCTACTAAATATTAAAATAAGCCACTGGTAAAATGCATCTGTAAAAGAAGCAGCAGCACTCTTTGTGAAGAGAATCACCTGAGACCAAATGCCACGTGCCAAGCTTGAGACTAAATCCATACATCATTTTGCTCAGCGCTCATACATACCCGCCACCTGGTGGTCAAATTGGACAGTGACTGTTATTAGAGATTCAGCCCGAAAGCCAACTAAAAAATGATTCCAGCAAAACAATAAATAAATAACTTTAGGTCGCTAAATTTTAAACACATTTTTCAGAAGTAAAGCAGAGGAATAAAACAGATGTAAGTGAATTTGGTTATTTTAAATTTCGGCTTCAGTCTTTAGGTTTCTTGCTTCTAATTCCAAAAAAACATTAAGAGGTCAGCGTGCGTGAAAAACGATCACCACGGATTGATTATCCCCCTCAAAAATAAATATAAAATTACCTTGGAGTAGAGCGATCGGAACCGATCAGTAGCATGGTCCAGTTTGCTCTGTACCTCTTTGTGGGTTGCAGAAGTGTCGATGGTATCCTTGTCAACCGTGCCACCCTTTCTCTGGCTGCAAGATTTGGCAGCCTCTACCACTCTGTTCCCAGAGATGGTGATGTACCGCAAGTCCCCTTTGTGAGAGATGACGTCTTCAGAGAAGCTCTTCTGCCGCTTCAGTTTGGTCATGAGGCCGCTTAAGTCATCTGCCCCCGCCTCCAAGTTCTGGAGTTCCTGTTCCGACTGCCGCAGCCAGAGCTCAAACTCCCTGTAATCAGCATCGAACTTCTCCAGTTCTTCCTGCAGACAGTGTGCTAGCTTCACGGTCTTCTCGGACTCAGTCAGCGCGGCTTCATAATGCACTTTCAGTTCCCTCATGTTCTTTTGCAGTTTTTCCTTCTCCTCGGGAGAGAGATGGTGACCCTGTTTCTCAAGCAAGGCTTGTGCAGATTGAGTGGCTATGATGACTGCTTGGTGCTGAGAGATGATCTCCTCGTGTTGGGCCTACGTGGACACAGAGCAGGGACAGGGTTACGCTGAGGTTTTCGGGGAGTCCCTTCACCACCAACAGCTTAACTGACCTCTGCAGGGCTACGATGTGCTTCTCCTTACTCTGTTCAAACTGTATAGCAGAGTTCCAGTTCATTGGTGAATCTCACAATAAGAACAGCAGCATTTTGAGCACATTAATTTATTTTATCAGGACATTTCCAACCTTCTCTATAAAGTTCCAGTACAATCACAGGACAAGTGCAGTTACTGAGCAGTTTGGAAAACAATTCGACAAATGTCCATTCCAACTTCAGAACAACATCTCTATAATCCAGTATCATTTTGTTGACTGCTTGCCTGATGTTGTTCCTGAATTACTGAGCAAATAACTAGAATGTTTTGTTTGCTAATGATCCTGAAAATACTTTTACATAGGAAAAGAGAGTGTGTTGAGTTTAAACCTATTGAAAATACTCTCCCTGCCATGGAGTTGATGCCCACTCCTAGCAATCCTGTGGGAGAGGGCAGGACTGCTCCTATGAGTTTCTGAGACTGTAACTCATAATGGGAGTAAAAAGCCCCAACTTTCTTCTTGGAGAAACTGGTGGTTTTGAACTGCTGACCTTACGGTTAGCAGCCCAACATGTAATAGGATAACAATAATTACGGTAAGTAAGAACAATATGAGGGGCTTCCAAAAGTTTATGGGAAAACTTCATTGTCTTTTAACTCTTATCTTTCGAGGAACCCAAAGGAGGGTATGAGGGGATCTTGGAGCAGGTCAGCTTCACTGGGCCTCAGCTTTCTGCACCCAGAAAAGTGCCGATGACAACCCTCATAGATCAAAGGCTGGGTAGAAGGAGCACATGAGCTGAGACACACAGAACCCAGCCCAGAGCCAGCAGAGCCTCCCTCTGAAGGCGGAAGGAAAGCTTCCGAGCAGGCAGGTTACCGACCACCTTGGCCTTCAGGGCAATCAGTGAGCCTGAACGGCTGCACTGGCTCTCCCTCCAGTCAGAGCAGCTTTTCCCAGTTCCTCTGCGATGCCACATTCTCCTGTGGAGCTGCTTTTCAGGCCAGCGTACAGTCAAATGACCTCACTGTAGAACGCTTTTCTAGCCCTGCACCTGGTCCCATGCCAGTGCAGGCACTGCGGCGACTGGCCTTTCCCAGCCTCACCCTGAGCCTGCTTATTTCTCCAGTTGTTCTCTATCTCTGGAAAGCGCTTCCCTTAAATATCTGCCTGGCTAATCACCCATCTCCTTAAAGTTTTTGCACACATCTCATCTTTTCAATACTGCCTACTCCAACTAGCCTATTTAATCATCCCCCTCCCAACACATGGCACTCAACAGTGTTCATGACTATGAAAAGGCGTGTGACTAGATGAATCATACAAACTATAGGTTAATATGGCAAAGAATGGAATTTCAAAACAACTGGGTTGTTTTTTTACATGCTTACACTCCCTCCAAGGCCCCCCCCCAAAAAAAACCCCAAATTAAGCTCACTACCATTGAGTCGATTCCAATTCATAGTGATTCTACAGAGCATGATAAAACTGCCCTTGGGGGTTTTCCAAAACTCTGACTCTTTACAGGAGTAGAAAGCCCAGTCTTTCTCCCTAGGAGGGGATGGTGTTTTCAACTGCTGACCTTGCAGTTAGCAGCCCAACTCATGTAACCACAACACCACCAAGGCTCCTTTTACATGCTTAGAAAGCTCCTAATAATAATTTATACTCAAAAGATCCATGGATGCATGGGAGGGTCAGGACTTTGCTGTATCCTACTGTCATTACTAAACTTTGAGAAATATCACTTATCTGTTATGGTCACTTGTTTGGAAAAATAATTTTTAAAAAACTTTTTTTAAATTTTATTGGGGGCTCTTACAGCTCTTATAACATTCCATATATCAATCGTATCAAGCATCTCTGTGCATATGTTGCCATCATCATTTCTAAAACATTTTCTACTTGAACCCTCAGTATAAGTTCCTCTTTTTTCTAATCCCTCCCCCACCTTCGCATCCTTGTGAATCCTTGACCAATTATATATTGTTACTATACAAAGAATTTAACAACATTCAACACACCTTAACTTTCTGGTACTGCTGGTTCAAGTTCTCCTCTGTGGTTCCCAAGTGCCCATCAGCATCTGTTTCCACAAGGTTCCCATTGACTTCATCCTCCTCTCCAATCACTGACTTGCCTTCACCTTCTTCAAAGTGGGTCCCATTCTGTTCAATGACCTGTTTCCGTTCAGGCCCTGCCCTCCCTGGGTCTTTGTCAACATGTGACAGCCAGTCCAAAAGGTCTTCTATTTTGCTTTTGCTCTCTTCCAGCTGCTTCACCGCGGCAACCTGGACAGAGAGAACTCACATTCTGAACAGGTTCACAGTCATTACTTTCAGGTCATGTAAATATTTAGGTCATTTTAAATAAGTTTAGGACACTGGTATGCTAAAACCTGGCTGAGGAGCAATCTGAAATTACACGTCAGAGCAACATGCAATTATTTGGACATTTTCACTCTTCTGAAGCACACATCGATGATATAACTCTGTGTAATTATAACTCTCTATAAACACACAACCACAGTAGACGAGGAGCCATACACATTACAGGTGTAAAGTCTCACCACCCCACTTTAAATAATTTTAACAAAAAAGCTAAAGTCAACCCTCCCAAACTTTTTGTATTATTTGATCAGTTATATACCTGGAAATTCAGAATACTAGTCTTTGGTGCTATCCATAGCTTCCCACCACCTGACACCACTTAGCAGCTATCACACCCATCAGGCTCAACAAAGCAATTGTGTAACACATAAGTGAACATGGACCTTCTCTGTTTCTTCCTTGATTGCAGTCTTCACAACTTTATCCAGCTCCTTTTTCGACTCTTCTGCCTTTGCATCAAGCTGCTCACGCTTCATTTTTGCTTCATTAAGTTTCTGTTCAATTAAAGCCTTTTCCTTGGGTGACAGCTTATCCCCATTCTCCTTCAAGAAGTTCTCTGTGTTTCTCACTATTTCTCCCAGGGCCTGTGCACTTCCTTGAATAGCTTTCTGTAATTCCTTAGAACACAAGGGAAAAAATGCTTGATTCATTACTACCTACTTATTTCTTACGGAGTTGTTGTTCTAAAAGGGGGTCAACAGAAAAGGCAAGTTGAGCATATCCAGCTTAAAAACAGCATTTTCGGTCTATTAAGGTCATCTGAGTTGGCATATTTCAGTCCCAATATTTAGTGTTATTTGATCTCACCAACGACGTTAAAGAGAGGCACGGGTTTTCAGGTTGTGTTTCATGTGCATGTTGCAAAGGGATGAGGTTTTTAAAACATGGAAAATACTGACGTATTCGGTAGATAACCGAAGCAAATTTGTATACACCGGATTTTAGAAAAATACGAGCACATTTACAAAAGCTGCTACAAGGGAATCTTTTTCTAACTACTTCTTATGAATTAGATTGGAAATTATATATATCAGATCATGATTTATGCATTCAAAAACGTAGACAACTTATCCAACCTCCTAAAACATGGAAAGCATATCTACTTTGCTTCCAAACATTTATTTTTTTAATCCATACTACTTCAGTGCAGTTTTTTCCCACCTAGATTTCATCACACGACGTTTCCTCTTCCTTTACTGTGTGTTTTCTGTCTTTACTGCGTACTGAGTTTGAGCTGTAATACTCTCTTTCTCCATGATTTTAAGGCCTCTAAAATTTTTCTGGAAAGTAGTTTCAGACAGAGGTAACTCCTTATTGAGCCATTCCTACATGATATGAACTCTGCTGGCCAGTACACACACACACACACACACACACACACACACACACACACACACACACACCATTAAGACCATGTAGCAATAGAAGGAAACACTGAGGGGCAGAGAGAGAACCATATATAAAGCCAACAATGTGGAGAGGCAGGGATTTTAACCAAGAACTACCTAATTTCACTGAGAATATTCTTTCTCCTGCCAGCAAATGAAAGATAGATTTTTCTCTCATATTTCATTTTCAGTGATATAGAAGGGGGAAAAAAGAAGCTATGAAAGATCAGAGACTCATTGTTATGTCCTCTAATTGGCCAGTTAGTAGGTTAGCCTAAACTGGATACAGATTTTAATTCATCAAACAAAATAGTTCCATTAGCATATCCTCTCCTTAACCGTCCTCTTAATATCGTATCAAAAAGTAAGCAAGTAAATGACCAGGTATGCTAGAAGCTGAAAATCTGATTTTGAGTGTCAGGCCCAAGGGGTGTAATGGTGCCTTGCCTCTGAAGAAGTAAAATGATTGACATGTTTCAAGAATCCCGACTGCTTTCCAAACAACACTAATAAAATTGAACAGCAACACAGAGCTGCTGATGTGAAACCCAACGTCTACCTCTTGCTTGGACTGGTACTTCTTTAATTCCACCGTGCCATCTCCAATCACGAAAGCTTCTTGGTGGCCAATCAGGCGGTTTTCCGTTTGGGTGAGGAGATCACTGAGTCCTTGAAGTTTGGCTTTGTACTCTTGCTGACATTCCGCCACAATCTAAAGTGGAGCGAACAGCAAGGCAGCTTTAAAAGAGTAGTAATAAAACCACTATTCTGACAGCTCCTTATTAGAACACATTTTGCAAGTTTCCTCTAAACAAGCTTTTTAAAGTATGCTGTAAACATGATAGCAGTGGGGTATACACAGAGCAAAGTGAGGGAGAAAGGAGGAGCGTGTGCCCTGTATAAGAAGGAAAGACACCGTGTTTGGATTTTTGGATGCAACTGCTCAGCAGAATACTGGCCATGCATATGTGAGAGATGGAACTTCTGACGGACAGGAAGAAAACATCCCATTTTCTTAAGCTCTTGAAACCCGCGACACAAGCAATTAATTCTGCAAAAGGATATCAAAACAGAAGTTAGTTGTGCTTTGCCTCTCGACCTACTTGGACAGGTGTACATAGGTTATCATGCTAGAGACAATGTCTGCGTGCTTCAAGAAATGAAAGAGTACTTCATGCAGTTTTTTCACTTAATCCTGGTGTCCAGTTCCACTGATAGTCATTCCCACCCTTTGGCTCATCACTGTTATTAGATGCAGCTCTCTTTAAAAAGTCATTATCTAAGAGACTATTTAATTTAGTAAGTCAATACCAAATACGTGCGTCTTTCATTTTCCTATTATATATTGGTTATATGTTTACAGCCATAGATAATGTTTACCAAGAGCTTCACGTAAGCTGGACAAGATACTGAGTGTTTCCCATGCATCCTTTAATCAAATACTCTTAATAGTTCTAGGTCAGCACTATTGTTTCCAACTGACCCATGAGAAAAATGAGGTCAAGTGACTTGCCTGAGGTTACACAGCTAGTGAGCTGTACAGCAGGGATCTAAAACCAGCAGTTTGGTCCAGAGCCCTGGATCCGCACTGGTATTGCAATACTATCTCCCAGAGGGGGCGAGGTACCCTGAATCTCTGCAGCCCGACCTTCATCCGTATATCCCTTCAAATTCCTGCAAGACTCTCCCTTGAAAAGGCTTGTTTTAGGGAGCCAGGGGAATGAATGAAGTTACAGCAACAATATGAAAAACAGTATTTTTCTATATTTTAGTCTCTACCTTGTACCCATTCATGAATTGTCTTTCTAGAAAACCATTCCTATCTTCCCATACCCTGGATATCTGCATAACTAAAAAGCCAAGAATTCCAACTCCAAAAGAAAGGCAAACCTTCTGATCATCAAGCTCTTGCTCGAGCTGTAACTGAGCCTCTAAACGTTGCACCTGGGCAGTAACTGACTCCTGTGCATCAAGAAAACACTTCTGAGTTGTGTTTAAGAGTCTGAGCAGTTGTCTGCTTTGGCTGGGAGACAGATCTTGTGCACATTCGGAAATGAAGAACTGCACGTCAAAGGCAGTGGTCTCCAGCTGCACTCTGGTACGTCCAAGGTCTTTTAACACATTCTGCGAACAAAGCATTACAAGTTACCGAGAGAGATGATAAAGTTTAACATGCATATCTAAATTTTACAACAGGCCTCTTTCATCAGGGAATCAAACGTTTATCGATATATTTCTTTCGGTATTCACTTGGTCAAAAATTTACTTATAACCTGGTAATGCAAATTTAAAAAAAAATACCGCCAAACTCACTGCCATCAGGTAGATGCCAACTCATGGCCACCCCATGGGACAGGGTAGAACTGCCCTGTGAGTTTCCGAAACTGCAACTTTTCAAGGGAGTAGAAAGCTTCCTCTTTCTCCCAAGTAGCAGCTGATAGACTCAAACTGCTGACCTTGCCGTTAGCAGCCCTATGTGTAACCACCGTGCCACCAGGGCTCCTTAGCAATACAAAGAAGCTATAAAGATGCCTGTGGGAAAACAGAATTAAAAGATAATGGACTTTTCCTACAAACATGTTAAGCCCTTTCAAAGGTAATGATGAAACTACGAAATACTATGGCAACTGATATCATATAAAAAGACAAAGAGCCCTTTTAACAACATCGGAACCTTGCCTGTGACGTCACAAATTAAAATGTCAACTCTGACAAAAGGTAAGGTTTCTTCTTAGGTGCATTCGACACACTGAAGACCATCAACGGCATTAAACATTACTTGCCAATATTTCTAGTAGTCATGTAATTTTCAAAGCACAGAAATGAGACTGGGAGGCATTTGAAATAGGAATTAACTGAGGGATCCAGAATTTTTATTTTCTGACCGGTAGAGGCCAGAGGTCTAACCACGATTCATGAGGCATGTTGTTCCAAGTGAGAATGTGAAGAAAAACAGCTTGATCAAAGTGAGTAAGGCAACCAAATGCTCACGATTGCCGAGTCAAGCCCACTCCTAACAAACCTACAGGACTGAGTCGCACTGCTCCCAGGGCTCCCACGGCCGTTCATCTCTACCGAAGCCAGCGGCCACAGTTTCCCCTGGAGTAGCTGGTGGGGTCCACCAACCCTTTGGATAGCAGCCTAGCACTTTAGCCATTGTACCACTAGGGCTCCTGGATTAACATTAACATGAATGCAAATATCAACAATGATAAGGTTGAGATAACCTCAGAATGGCATCCATAAAGTGATGATCTTATAAGCAGACATCTCTCAGAAACACAGGTGAGAAATACTATTTTTCTAAGCATTTCTATGAAATCCATTGGCTTTCAAAGATACTTGGTCATATTTATTTTGATGCTTGCCTTGAGAAACTCCAAACTTGTCTGTAGTTCAATATCTCCAACATCCATGACCTCAATATCCTTCACAGAGTTGCTCTTCTCTGATATCCAATTGGAAAAAGACGTCAGCTTATGCAGAAATTCTTCATGGCAAATGGCCAGTTTAGACTAGAAAATAAAATGGTGTGTTCTGTTGGGCCCCAAATGTCATGTGCTTACAAACAATGATTCTGTTTTAAAGCCTTAACGGTCTGAACATAAAATGCTTCATCTTATGACTAAATGATGAATTCTTCAAAAATCAGGTTGGGGTTGGTTGAAACATGTTGGTGCTTACCGTTTCAGCGTCCATCGCAAGCACAAGCTGTCTCATTCTCTCTGAAGCCATGTCATTGAGGGAGAAGAAGGCGGCCTGCAAACGCCTGTGGCTGGCGCTCAGTTCCTCAAGCTGCCCTCTGGGAAAGCCGCTCGGGAGAGACTTCAGGAACTCTTCTGCCAGCTTCATGTCTCTTCTTAAAATAACAGCAATTGGAGCCAAGCCCAATTCAAATGTCTGCAAAGAAATATTTCCCAGGTCCACTTACTATTTTTTGAGAAACACAAACACAAGTCATACTCAAGAGATAAATAAACCTATCAATATTACATCAGCTGACCACCAGCCATAGACAGGCAGCAGAAAACTTACCTCTAACTGTTTGATTTGGTTTTTCAAAGCTTCTAGATTGTTATCCAGAGGTTCCTGGGTGAATAGTGGAGGTTTCATATCTTGAAGCAAAGCCAAATACTCAAGCATTTTTTCAGTGTGCTGTACACACTGCTGTGACTCCCTGGAAAACTAAAGATGAAATTGGACATTTTATTTCCATAGTCTTTATGCAGATTTTTTAAGCAAATAAAAGGGGATTATTCCCAAGTGATTCATGCAACCACTTCCATGTAAAAGGTGGAGGTCAACTTACTTGTTCTGCTGAGTTATCTCCAAGGGTCGATTCTGTTGACCCTGAAACACAATCCAAGTTATCCAGGGAATCATAGCAACACTCGAGTTGTGCATCTCTTGGCAATACTGATGCCCGAGGCGGAGATTGTTGGAGGCCCGTTTCTTTAAGGTCCTCCAAGGTAGGACAGTAGCCTTCCTCGTTGCTTTTAAGGTCTCCAAGTACGCGTGGCTTTGCATCCACTAACTCAGACGCCACAGCAGATGATTTTTTATCGCCGTCTCCGGCCTCTTCTAATTTCTGTGAATATCCATCTCTGAGCAGTCTGCAGAAAATACTTTCAAGTTGCAATGGGAGTACTTTGGATGTGATACCTCTTTTCTCTAGATCATATTCCAACTGAGTTAATTCTTTCATCAATTCAAATACTCCTGCGATTTCTTGGCTATACTGATGTTGCCTTAATATATCAAAGAGAAGGTCAGCCTTTAGATTTGTGATACAGAAAGGATCTTCCCTACCTTCTGCTTTGAGTTCTGGCACATTCCTCAAGAGAGGAGCGCCAGGAGAGTCAGTGTTTTCAGAACCACTGGATAGAGTTGGTCCCTCGTTTCCCAATTTTGATGTGTCAACCTTTCTAATTATGTTTTGAATGAACACTTTAGCATCTATACAGGCTGAAGGTTCTCTGACCTCTTGAGGATTAACATGACCTTCTTTCGCCATGCTTTTGAAGATTTCCTTTAGGTCCTCAACCAATACCTGTGATAATTCAGGTATCTGGACATCCCTATCTTGGCCTCCTGGAGACAAGGCTTGTTCTGTTGGTGGTTGTTGCTCAGTTGTTTCTTTTAGGATTTCCGTTTCATCAGTGCCTGAAGTGTTACTTGAGCTATTTTGTACTCCATTTATGCAGAGTTCTACTTGCACCAAAGCAGTATTTTCCCCAGGGTCCTCCACATTTCTAAGGGGTAAGACTGAAAGTGAGGATGCATTAATTTCAGGTGTGAACGGAGGCATTTCTGTTTCTCCCACTGAGGCAGTTCCTTCAGAGCAAAGGTCATTATTTTGGACAAGAGTTGCCGTTTCTTTTGCACTCTTGATTCCTAGTTCTAAATGTTCCTTCATGGGAGGGACATCGATTAAACCACATGTAGGACTCTCTGAATTCAATCCAGGATGTGGAGAGACATTCAGCCCGCCTGCTACATCTTTGTTTGGTTTCAGGACATCTTTTCCTTTTACACTCAGAGTACAATGTTTTAAAGAAGTAAACGGAACAGGCTCTCTATCAGCTTGCTCAGAAAATGATTCTTTCTTAATATTTGTATTCCCTTTGGACAAAATAGTAGAGCCACTGATTACTTTGGAAGCTGATGTGTTAAATATTTCTCCAAGATTCTCAAATTGAACAGGACTTTTACTGACCACTGTTTGCAAGGTCTTTGGTTCATTTTCAAGAGTTACACTCATTTTGTGAAGGGTCCCTTCCTTATGATGTTCTTCGTTGCCGGTGATCGGCAGAAATGGAAACTGACTACCAACTAAATCAATATCTTCCTTTGCACCTTTATTAGATACAAGTTTGAGGTATGTATCCTCTTCTATTACACTTCCCATAAGCTCTTCTCCTTTATCTGAGCACATGTTCTGAACGGATGCTCCATTTCCATCTCTTCCCTTTCTTTGGTGACCTCTGCCCTTTAAAGATGCTTCAGGTGACAAACAGCTTTCCTCAGCTGGTCTTTCTATTAAATCCGGCTCAGAATAAATAGCTTTCTTAAAAGATGAGTCAACTTCAGGTGTCACATCCTCAAGATACTGACCTTTGCCTCTGACATATTCCACGGATGCTGGTTCTTGAATCAATGTAAACGTTGTGCTCATTGGATCATTATCTAAATCAGAAGCTGAAAGGACAATCGTATTTTGTAATGTGTCCTCAGGGCCAGAGATTTTTCTTGATCCAGGGTCTTTAATGGTAGGCAACAATGTATGTTTAAGTACCATCTCATGAGGTAATAGACCATCCTTGTTTTTGCCAACAACAGCTGTCTCTTCTGGATGGGTATTTCTTTCAGTAACTACACTACTTTGACCAGTTGATTCTACCTGTAAAACATTTACACTTTGCTGTCTCTCTAAGGAACTGTCATTGTGCATTTTATCCAGGAAGATCGTTTTGTTGATACTTTGAGTCTCATCACGGTTTTCTTTCTCATTTCTGGTAGCACACGACCAGATACTTCCAACTGCATCTTGGCCGGGAGGATTTTTGTATTCATCTACATCTCCTCCTTCTTTTACATCATCTTCATCATCATTGTCCCAATCATCCTCCTGGTCATAATGCCTGTAACTTTCTTCACTTTCTGTAGAATCGAAATGACCAGCATCTGATTTATATTCTTTCCCAGTGTCACATTCTTTTCTTCCTCTCCAACTGCCAGCGTCATCCAATTTTAATGAAGCACCGAACCGCTCTGATTCTTCTACACTTTCATTACTAATCCACGAGTCAGACTTATCATCTTCAAGATTATTTGTGCTTTTTGATAGACTTCTCAGCAACTGTCCATTTACCTTGTCTGAGCCAATTGAATTCAAATGTACCTGTTCCCCAGAATCTAATACAGCTTGGAGAGGCCGTGGTTCTTCCCTCACATTTACGTTAGCAAGCAATCCCACCTGGGTAAACTCAGAATTTCCGTCGGTTGTGAACTCATAGAAAACATCTCCAAGAGGCTCAATCACGTCATTCCCCTCTTGCAGTGTGTCATAGTCCTCGGGTTGCAGACAATCACGGTCATTACCCTCAAGAAGCAGAGAATCATGGTCATCATCTTCAAACAAGGGAGTGTCATAAAAATCATCATCGCTCTCAGTGTCGGTTTCTGTGTCACGCTCCTGCTCGTCCAGCAGGGACGTTTCATAGTCACCGGCCCCTGCGGCTTCTTCAAGCAATGGTCTGCCACAAGCACGGGCTGCACTGGCCCCACCCCAGGGCTGCCCAGCCTCCCATGGAGTCATGGCACAAGGGTGCTCTCCCATTTCAGACTCATTTTGTTTGTCTTCCTGTTTCCACGGAAAAGCAGCACCCATGTTGTCACCCTCACCAGAAGTATCTGCAGTGCTCTGAGCACTCCGAAGTTGGACCTGAGAACTCTGACAGTCCTCATTTACTGATGCCTGCCCAGGCTGCTCTCCTTGTAAACTGATGTTAATACCTGCAATTCCCAGATACTGATCTTGGCATCCTGCTCCCATTTTTTGACCCAGTAACACGGTTTGGTCATTGCAGGGCAATGTCCAGTGTTCAGTTCCATTGCTCTTTGGGGTGCAAATGTTCTTAAAAGTTTCCTGATTGTTTCTCGATTTATCATGACTTAAGAGGGCACTTAGTCTAGGTGAATAGTCAAAGGAAGTTGAATCCTTGTTTCTGTTACCTTCTGTCCTGGTGTCATTGTGATCACGCGACCTACTGCTGTTGGATTTCCCACTAGCATTGGTTCGCAAATCACTTGCAAAGTTTGGGCTGTTTTTATATGGACTACATCCATCTATGTGCTCACTTGCTTCAACTTGACACTGAGTTTCACAGTTTTTATGTATGTCTCCAGAGTTACGTCTCGGCAAGCTAACTTCTGCAAATTCAGGCTGTGTTAAATATGATGTGGCATTCGGGACACACACACTAGATGAACTGTTAACATTATGATCAATTGTTAGTACATTTGCCAGGCTTCCGGACTGATAAAATGTAGCATTATTTTCCACTTCATGAAGTACATCATCGACGCCATATTTTTTATTTTCATTAGTCTCTCCGTGTTCAGATTTTTTGTGGTGACATTGATCAAAACCATTTGGTAAGGCTGTACTTTCATCCTTTTCTTTATCTTCTTGACTGGGAGCATTGTTAAGAAATATACTAGAGGAATTTAAATCAAGATATTCTTTTGTGAGCGCTTCCTTATTAAATTCTGCACCACACCCTTCCAGTAACATCCCAATAGCCTCATCCAAGTCCCCATCATACATCAAAAGCCTCTGCCCTGTGTTTGCATCCATGTAACTATTTATCATCAAGTAATACAGGAAGTGCTGTTTCGTTTGTTCTGAGTTCTGAGTTGCCACTGGCTCTTCTCCATCGCAAACCTCCTCTTCCTGGTTGTAATCCTGGTCTCTAGAGGGTTGGCATTTACAAAAGGTGAGCCATCTTTTGGCATTTTTACAAGAAGCTCCTAAATCTTGCAAGTCTGGCATTTTATCAGGCAGTGTTATACTTTTTAAAATCGATGCGGTGCTATTATCTATAATCCCTAGGCCTTCAGCAACATCCAGACCAATGACTTGCGAAGTTTCCGGAATATAAAGGGCAGCGATCTTCTGCCTGCCATTCAGGATTTTGTATGCCAGTTCATTTGTGATTAAGTCCTGCTGTAAGGAGGAAGAAGTGGGAAAGATTTCACCAGAGTGGGGCCAAATGAGCCCCACGTAGCCCCGCTGAGCCTCGATGATCAAAAGAGCACTGCTGGAAGTGATTAAGTCACACTGGACAGCTTCATCTACAGTCAGACGTCTTGCAGGCTGTGAGTGAATGATCCCACCTGTTTGAGCCTGGTACGTGAGAATGCTGTTGGCCGTATCTCTATCGATCACTCCTTCTACCCTAGCTTCTTCAACAGTCAATCTTTGACCAGAGTCACAATCAATCAGCCCTCCGGAGAGAAGCTGGGCGCCTAATAACCTAAACATGGTTTCCCGGTCCACGAGGCCTTCATGAGATGCCCTTAAAATGCTTATATTTCTTCCGCATTTCAATGTTATCCGGCCGCCTTCTTGTGGTCGCACAGGCAGAAGCCGCATCCCCGTGTTTTCCTGGAGGACACTTCTTTGAACCATATCCCTTAGAGACACCTTCTCCGAAGTGCAGGGGTCAATCAGAGCTTTGCACATGGTTTGCCTTTCCAGAACCCTAGAATACAATGCCGAGGAAATCAGGTTCTGGTGGAAAGCCTTCTGTAGGGTCAACTGTTCTCCCGTGGCTGGAATCACCAGGAAGCCCGTGGAAAGCAGGATCTCAAGCACTCGGATGGCCATGGTCTCAGATAGCACACCTTGAGCCAGAGCGTCCAGCAGTGGAATTGTGCTAGAGGACGCAGCAGCAATGAGCTCCTTAGCTTTACTTAGTTCTTGGAGTTGGCACAGAATTTGTTCATCAATCAGGCCATGATTTTTGGCATCTTTGAGGTCAAAGCACTTTCTTAATTCTGGCGATATTAGACCAGAAATCATTAGCTGCGTCTCAAGCAACCTGAGTCCTGTTTCGTAATCAATGAGGCCTCTTAAAACTGCCTGAAAGACCGAAAGGACTTCTCCGGTTGTCTGATCAATGGTACCTGCAATCACTTTATCCAGCTGAAAGGAAAATGCAAAAATCCCAGGTCAGCGTATTGTATACAGGTGGGCTGAGTTTCATGAAAACGATTTGGAGATTTTGTAAATAATACATTTCTTTTTTACATGAAAGCATCTACTTACCAGAGCGCAGCAATGCTGTGAATGTTAGGCAGCTCAAATGCGCAAGTGCTCTATGTCAGTGATCTATTCAACAGCACAGGATGTGATAAAGCTTTGAACACAACATGCATCTGTGAATTGAAAACTCATTACTGTGCACATTAACAAGGTTAGTGGGGACACAACAGAGTAGATGATGTCAGAAAACAGAGCACATATCTAGAAGGCAAATCATGCTTTCTGCAATTGGGTGAGATTAGAGTCTACTGACATGGAAGAGAGAGTCAAACCCCATGCTATGGATGTTTACAGCATACAGACTTAAACTAAACAGTCAAAAACTAAGACTCTGCAAAAATCATTACATACCTCCAAACTACCACATAATTATAGATAAGTATTCCTGAGAGTAAGGAATCAAATATAAACATAACTTTTTGAACACAGAGTATTGAATGCTGGGGCACATTCACTGACATGTAGTATCAGATTTGAAACGTTTACATTTAGGCCAACTTATAAGTGACTTATGTTGTCTCTTAAGAAGCTGCTATGGCCTAACGCCTATATATTCACTATAACATACGATCTAGGGTGACTCAAGTAAGTCTCCTGGGCATCTCTGTAAGTCGCATAGATGCTACGAAATTCCAAGGCCCCCGTTAGCGATGGTTCCATCTTAGAAGATTGCATTTACATGATAAAATACCTCAGACAGCAGCAGAAGAGTGGCTTGTAAAGAGAAGAGTTAGACAAATGAATGATTCTTTCTTTTACCATGCAAGCAGGGGGTAGTAGGGTGTCACAGAAACTGATGATCAGCACGTGTAAGATCGCATTTAATAAACAACATGGACATCTTCAAGCACTCAAATAAACTCCATTCGGGATTGGTTTGTTTGTTTTGTCCACGGACAAGACCCATTTCTTGTAGATCTCACAACCATGCAATGAAACCAAGATATCTGAAAGCTCCTCATGTTGTAAATAAAGTTTACCTGCTCATCTCCCTTTTCCTCCCCTGAGGTCTTGGCTTCTTGTAGTTGTTTCAGAGAGCCACTAAATAATAAATTATAGCCTTCTTGAAGAGCTGTCATTTGGTTTTCCAGTTCATTTCTTTCTTCATCTGTCATTCTAAAATAAGCAAAAAGGGTAAAACGGGCACTACGCATATTCCAGTGGTAAGGATGCTGCATTGAGCTCTGACTTTGCGAAGTTCACAGCATGCAATCCAGTCTGACCTCCCACAGACCTCCGTGATCTTAGAATGATGACACTGCCCGAAAAATGGACTCTTGAGAGAAGGGTGGAAACTGATACATTTGTTAACTTTTATCACATACACATGTTCAATATAAAAAAATTATTGTTATCTGATAGAAAAGGGAAAAGTCCCCGTGGTTATTTCCAATGTGGGAGGGAAAAACCAACAGTAAGGCACTGTTCCTCAAAGTAATCAGGAGGAACTCCACAGAAAATCAATCTGATTCCTTAAGGGATAATACAGTCATTCTGGAATATTCACAGAAAGTATGCCCAAATGAGTTAAGAAATGGGTTTCATCTTTCCCTGCATCACCAGTTATAAGATTCATAGGACTTTGCTGCAAAATGCAAGAGCAAGGTAGAAGAAATCATGTTGCCACAAGTCTCAGCTAAAAACAAGAACATATTTATACATATTGCACTAAAGGTCAGTCTCTGAGAGCACTGCTTAAAATTAAGACTTGGCTTGGAGTCTTGACTCCACCAAGACTAGTTAGTAATCATTCACCTGTCTGGCTCTGGCTCTATATCAGCAAAATATAGATCGTGTTTACGTTGCAGGGCTGTGGTAAAGCCTAAAAAATGGTACGTACTCACGTCATTACATTAATAACTAAAGTGTCATTACACTTTAACTAAAAGTACAGCTCAATTAAAGCTGGCTGTCTTCTGCTTTGCTCAGTGTTTTCCACATAGCTCCCGGCTGTGACTCAAACTAACAGACACCAGCACACACACCTGTCACCGTGTTTAGCCAGAAACAGCTGCAAGGCTTGAAGTGCTTCTGATAACTGTTCCTTCTTTATTGTGATTTCTTCACTGGTAATCTAGAAGGGGGAGAAATTGCATATTGCATCAAACTTCTCCCTCACAAGACTAAACAGTAATATTTAAAAATGAATCAGGTAAAAAGTCTACTTTCTTAGTGACTGAAGTCGAAAGCCACGACATTATCATTGTACAGGGCTGGATAAGAGTATTTTATTAAGATGCACGATCTTGGAAAGCCACTTGACCCATCTGTAATGCCGTTATTTTCATGAGGAAATATTATAATGTGCTTGCACTTGTCCCAGCCCAACGGTGGATAACAGGTTGCCTTAATTCGTCAGCTGGTTGTAGGTTCAATACTATCCTTGTCAATATCCAATATCATCCTTGTACATCTTAATACTGAAACATGAGACACGAAGTGCAGCACCACATCTTCCAGCCCCCAAGGCCTGGATACAATGCTCCTTTTGACAGGTACCAGCAAAGTGAACGTATGCAACTGTACGTCTAAACCATTCCTCCTGCAGGAGTCACCTGCAGCGGTCGAAGGAAGCATGAGGTTGTGGCACTTTCGCCTAGTCTCTCGGTGTTACTTGGGAACGATAGGAAATTAATGCCCACTCATTGAGAGCAGGAAGGAGAATGATGGACCAGTGAAATGGTACATGCACTTTCCCCATGTGTTTTACTTTGTTTTTCATAGATATAGGTAATCATTGTCTTACTGATTTATTATTCACATCAAATTCTCTTAATTTTCCTTTAATAAAGATCCACCCACTGACTTCAAGTCTATTCCAAGTCACAAAGACCAATACAGGGTTCCCAAAGCTGTAAGTCTTTATGAGAGCAACTCATTGTTCTCCAAAAACTATATTAAACATACGTACTAGACCTCAAACTGGGAGAAAGACAAGGCTTTCTACTCCTATACTGTATAAAGATTTACGATTCTATTCTGTCCTATAAGGTTCCCATGGTCCAATGACTCAATGGCAATTGTTAGGTCCAAAACTAATCTTCTAACGCAGCGGTTCTCAACCTGTGGGTCATGACCCCTTTGGGGGTAAAACGTCCCTTTAACAGGGGTCGCCCAATTCATAAGAGGAGCAAAATTAGTTACGTAGTAGCAATGAAAATAATTTTATGGTTGGGGGTCACCACATGAGGAACTGTATTAAAGGGTCGTGGCATTAGGAAGGTTGAGAACCACTGTCAGTGGATTTTAGAATTTACAACTAGAAAATGAGAAAATGTCAAAAGGTTCATAGTCCATGTTTCCCAGAAAAGTTATTCTTTTAAAAGGGGCAGAATTTTAAACTATATATTTGCAGACAATTACTTTGAAGACCAGTTAGTTTTCATTAAAATGCAATTGATGCCCAATGTTATTACATTAATATCTAAAATCTATATGTAAAACTGTGAGCTACTAGTTTTTTTTTTAAATCATTTTATTGGGGGCTCATACAATTCTTATCACAATCTATACCTACATTCATTGTCAAGCACATTTGTACATTTGTTGCCATCATCATTCTCATTTGTTTTCTACTTGAGTCCTTAATATCAGCTCATTTTCCCCTCCCTCCCCCTTCCCCCCTCCCTCGTGAACCCTTGATGATTTATAAATTATTAATATTTCCACTGAATAACTTTCAAATATATGCCCTGGTATATCTCTCTCAGAGGCATATTTTTCTCATAGAGGCAAAATTATGTAAGACACTGAAAATTTTCCCTACTGAATAAATTCAATAATTAACTGATTATAAGTGAATCATTGGCAATCAAATGCTTAGCTAAGAATGGGAATTAAATATTGAGAGGGGAGTGTCTAACATCTCCAAATGTAACAAAGAGCAAGAGAGGATTATGTAGAAGTTTGGTCTTGGATTTTTTTCATCTTACTTGTCTTAGTGTAAAATTATTTTTAAAAATCCTTTACGGAGGAAAGAGAATCCACCTGGAATTCCAGTGCTTCACTGTAGAAAATCTCTTTATGAAGCAGAGATCCAGAAAAGCACAGGGAAGGTCATGCTAAAAAAATGCAAACACCCTAATTTTAATCTGCATTTTTCTTAAAACACTGTTCCAATTGTGAGAATGAGACTGCATATCTTCATCTTTATGTGAGGGCACGGATGTACTCTGGGCACAGAACAGGAAGACTCAGTTCCTTCTCATTTCTCATCATTCCAGTCAGGAAGCCAATCTAACTATTAGAAGAAGTGATACATTATCTGTCCACCTTAGAGCTCAGGCTGTGGAGTCAAATACCCTCCCAGACACATACTAGCTTTGCTTCCTAGGGCAAGTTACTTAGGCTCACTGCTCCTCGTTACCTACAAGGATGCGGGGAAATGAATAATTAACAAATATCGTAAAGTTAGATTCTATCAAGTCAGTAAATTCCAGCTATTGTCAAGGCAGGACCTCAGTGAATAATACCTTTTGCTTAGAGAAGAGAGATTTCTCAGCCTTCTCTCCATCTCTCAAAGGCTTGCTGATATTTGATACCCAATTCTGCAGTTCTCTGGCTTTTCCAACATGCTCTTTCTTTTCCTCATCCAGTGACTTCTGACAGGTGTGCGTGATAAAAAAGATATGCTGTGGTAAATGACCACTCCCAGAAAACAAGGATGTGAAGGTATTCTTTTCATCACACAGATTACAAAAACATTTTATTCATTTACTTAACCGTGTGTATCATGTTGCAGAGCAGACATACTTCCAAAATGTGTATGGTGACAACGAAAGCTGTGACAAACATTCTTTAATGATCGGTCTACACCTCCCAGCTGCTCCATCAATTTGACAAGTAAACAAACTCAACTTCATTCATGAAGCATAAGAAGATCTCTGGATTGCCGCCTTTGCATTAGCATTACAATCGTGATTATCCTGAGAAAAGGACTAGACAATGGCAAGCCCAATGCGCGGGGAATGTCTACACACATAAAAATTATATAGCGTGATCCAAAACAAACCTTTCCCCCTCCTCCAGCATACAGTACACTTACATTGATTATTCATCCCAAAGTCTTAACTAGAAATGAGAGATTCAGGTACACATTTTAATATGTAAAGAGGTTTACTTTATACAGAAAGTCTTCAAAACGTTTCCACTTTCAAGGCAATCTGAAACACTGAAAGCCTTACAAAGAAAGGAACAAACTAGCATTTTTCTCTTCAATTCTATGGTGTCTTTGGAAGTCCTCTTTCGGTGAGAGCAATGTATATCATTTGATAAGTGAGAAGGCTGGATCTATTCAGAAGTGGAGAGAACTCTGAAAAAATGATGCTACAGATTTGGTGGAGTTCTTCAACCTTATTTCATAATCCAAGTAAGACTTCTCAGTGTAGTGTGGGTTAAGTTTTTTAAAAAAAGAATCTCAAAGCTAAGTGGAACGGTTTAGAGTAATCTTCTGCTACATTTTATTTTTTAATAATTTAAATTTTTTAATTAATAATTAAATTTTTAATTATTTTCTTTTTGTAGCAGTTAGATATTTCCTGTCCTCAAGAAACAGTATTTAGAGGATGTTACACAAATCACGTACCGCCGGATCAGCAGTTGAAACCAGGAGCCGTTCCACAGGAGAAAAACGGGACGTTGTAGTCCCGTAAGGAGTCACGGTCTCAGAAACAAACAGGGCGGTTCTACTCTATCCTTCAGCGTCACTGTGAGTTACAACTGGCTCCATGGCAGTGAGTTTTGAGTTTGGACACAAATCACTGTATCATCTTAGTTGATCAACACAATGATGGTTTGGACAGATAACATAACCAAACAGTATCATTTTTGTGTGTGTAAAGTTACTTGCATAATAGGATTGTTGCCTTACCATGAAGACTATCACCTGCCCACCCACAGCCAAGAGGTCGATTATGAGTGATAATGACCGTACAGAACAAAGTAGAACTGCTCTTTAGGCTTTCCTAGGCTGTGAATCTTTATAGGGATAGAAAGCCTCATCTTTCTCCCTCTGGGTAGCTGTTGGCTTTGAACTGCTGACCTTGTGGTTAAACAGCCCCAGCATGTAACCCACAACACTACCAAAACTCCTTTATGAAGAATAGTAGAGGCTAGAAATTCCTGTCATCAAAGGTTCAGACACTTCTAAGAGTTTCAGCCCTGTGTGGAAGTCAAAATCTGCCTTTTCTAAGGCTTCTTTGTATGTCAATTTTCTTTTCGTTTGGGGACATATTATATTTCTAGCGTAAGACTTTTGATCTTTGAGTTTCATCGCAATGAAGGCATCTATAATACCTACTTGGAGAGCCTCTTCAATTGACAACCGGGAGTGGACCTGTGGTTGGATCAGCCCCCCAGTCAAGAACTGAAATTCCAAACATCGGATTCCCAGATCCTTACTTATGATGTTTGCATTCACAGCTTCCACCACTGACATCATTTTGCTAGTGACTGGATGGCCAATGCCTGTGATTACTACTTCACACTGTCGCAGCTGCTGAGCAAACCCCTCATCGACTAGGCCTCTGTGCAAAGCTTCAGCCACCCGATGCTTTTTGCCAGTAAGCGGGTCAATGATCCCCCCTGTACTGACTTGCGCTTCAAGACATCTGAGAGCTGTCATGCGGTCAACCAGATTTCGACGGGAGGCCTTCAGTACGGAGATCCTTTCCCCACTTGCCGTCAGCCAATACCCTGCAATAGGACTATGCAAATCCTTCTTGGGAACTAACTGGCTCATCAAAGAATCGGCAAGTTCTGTAAGTGTGATGAGGCCATCGTGATACTTTTTGACCAAGGCTTTGTCAACTATCCCCTGATCTATAGCTTCGTTAATATTGAACTGTAATCCTGTTTTAGTGTCAGTCAGCATATGAGAAGGATGCCCGTAGGACTCAAAAAACGTGGCTTCCTTCCACTGATATTGCTGCCCCGAAAGTTCAAGATAGGTAATTTTGTCTATTAGGTTTCTCTGGAATGCCTCATACGCAGTCAGTTCCGCTCCTGTTTTAGTATCGACGACAGAAATTTTATGAGTTTTCTCTACACTGAGATTGGAAATGTTCCTCTCTCCAAATGGAAACAGAAAGCACTGGCTATCGACATCAAATACACACATCTGCAGTAACTCTGAGTAATACAGAGCTTGCTTGCTATTAGGGTTAGGAAACACTCTTGCGTTGCTGGATGGCTCGTGTAAAAATTGTAAAATGGCATTATTCAACAAGCCCAGCTGCAGAGCACCTTCTGCAGGAACTCGGATGCCTCTCACGGGGTCAATGACGCCCCCACTGGCAATCTGGGCCTCCAAGATATGTTTACCCTTCTGTCTGTCAAGCATTCTGTTTTCCATAGCTTGAAACACTGACAAGATCTTAGCAGAATATGGATAACCCAGGGCTGCTTTCTCTGCCTCATGGAGCCTAATCTTGAATTCAGGATCAATAACCCCTATAAGGACTGCGTCTTCTACAGAGTATGTCTGACCTGAAATGGGATCAATTATAAACCCTGTTGCAGCCTGAGCTTCTAAAAATGCAAGGGCCATCATTTTGTCAATTATTAATTTCTTGGCTGCTGAAGTGAATGATATCTTTTCTTTGGCAGACTCTAGGTAAAGCCCTGCAATTGAGGTGGCTTTTGTCAGAAACTTGCTAAGAGTTTTCTGAACATCTTCAACAGTCTTAAGACCAAGTCGCAACTGTTCGATCGTTCTCATGTCCAGAAGCTTGGCTTCAACCAACTGCCTAGCAGTCACGGTGTGCTGGAGCCCCTGAAATTTAAATTCGTCATCCCTAACGGAGCACGCATGATCTCCATCAATGTTCTGAAAAGTCTCTGATTCTAAGCCTTTCTTAAGGAAATCTCTCTTGACTCCACCAGACGATCTGGACACTTCAAACATCCAGTCTTCAGCACTGACACCTGGGTTCTTTTCTTGGTTTAGAGTTGTGACCTCCGCATGCATATCATATTGCTTGTTCTTAGCTATCTGCAAGGGGAATTCATAAGACGTTAAAAGTCACCTCCATGACAGGATGCCACCTTACACCTGCTCAATTCAAACAGAATTCCTCTAATAACAAAGGTGATAAAAGACAAGAAAAAGGCCAAACCTAGGAAAATTCAAAAGTAAGTAATATTATTCTGAGAAGCTAACGCTTACATTAGATAACAAAAATATTCAAGTGGTGTGTTTAAAAAAAATAATATTCAGCCACAGAACAGATTAGAAATTAACTAATTGGTTCTGCCACTTTTTTGTGGGCATGTTTTTCTGACTATAAATTTCATCCACCCATTACATCAGTACATTTACTCTCAAACATTTAAAATTTAAATGAGAATAATTTATCATTGTCAAATAAGACAATAAAAAGCATACAGCATTTTTTTCCCTGTCAGAATTATAGCCAGATACACTCAAGACACATTTCTAAAAGTTAATCTAGGAGTAATAAGAACGAAAAGGAAAAGAAAACGGAGGTAGTTGGTAAGCACTGAAAACATAATATACCTCTAACGGTGTCAAAAGCTTCACCAATCCCATTTCGCACTGGTCATCTTGATACCTAACAGGTGGTCTGGAATTATGTGGGGCTTGCCCTCTTATCTTCTCTATTTCTGATAATCTTGTCATTGGATTTTTCTCATCAAAAGTTATCTGTAATTCGGTGCTTGTTTGAGAAAAATACTCAGAGTAACACTGCTGGCTTTTCTGGACTTCTACTGGCATTTGATCAATAACCTGGTGTTGCCATTTTTCTTCCACCTGCTGCGGGTCTTGGGTCCATCTCAGCAGAGAGGACCTGGTGCCTGGGTGAGGTTGCCCCGTGGTCCTGGAGGAGAGCTCTCCAGGGTGCTGACGATCCTTCACCATGGTCAGCTCAAACTCAGGTGTGAAGGTACAGTTTGGGGTGGTGTTCTTTTTCTGGATGTCACACTGCAGCAAAATTAATTGATGCTCATGCTCCTTGATCTGTTGATCCATTTTCTGCTTCAGGTTTTCCACCTCACGTTTCTGGGCTATCAGCTCATCCTCTAGTTTCCGACATTTTTGGTAATGATTGGCTTCCACATTCTGCCCTTTCTGCATCTGCTCACGATATTGTTGAAGCTGCCTTTCAAGTTCTTTAATACTGGTTTCACAAACCTTCGCATTCTCCTGAGCTCTACAGTTCTCTTGCTGAAGAGACACAAAGTCGAGTTTAATGCCTGAAATGTCATTTTCAGTGATGACTTTGGAGCCCATTAATTTTTCCATCTTTTTCCGAAACTCCTCGGCTGAGCGTTTGAATTTGTCAGATTCTTCCTGAAAGAGAACCATCCTTCTGTGTGTCATCTGCTCTTCGATGGTCTTCAAGTGTAGCTCGTTTTGTACCTGTTTCAACCTGTTATTTAACTCTTGCACTTGCGCTTCCTGGAGCTGCACTTTCTGCTCTCCCAGCCGCTTTTCCTCCTTGGAAGCGTGCAGCTCCGCATTCAGATTCCTAACCTCTTTCGTGGTGTTCTGTATGATGATGTTCTGCTGCTCACACTTGTGCTTAAATTCACTTACTAAAGTCTGACTTTTGGCCAGGTCATCTTCCAGGCACTTGATTTT